TGTCCCATCATACGTATCTGGCTCATGTTGCTCAGTGATTAAATAAAAATAATAATCCAGTTCTAACACTTTAAGTACTGACCTAAAATTATATATTCACACTGCAACAACCAAATACATCCTTGGACAAATGCCAACCTGCATTCTATTTACCTCAAAATATTTTGGGGATCCTTTCACTGGAGATTTAATAAGGTCATGCCAGCTCAGTCTGCAGACAATATCGGTCTGATATGGAAGCTAGCCTTCATTTGGCTGGGAGAAATTAGACATAATAAATTTTTAGCAATAAGGCTGTGAGCGAGTGGCCATGCTCCAAAGCGCCCTGAAACCCTGCGTGATTAAAGAGCCTCCCAGCTGAGTGGGGAGCAATAGCTCCCATTTAGAAGAGGCTTTGCATAGCAAATGCAGCATGTAAAGAAATCTAATCAGCACCTTGCACTCCTGCGCGAGCATTTACACGGATTTGTGCCTTGCACTTGATTAGCTTACTGTAAGCTTTACAAGACATTCCCTTCACTAAAATTAATCAAAAGCTCTTGGAGGCTGATTTCCATTCACAAGGGAAGACAGGATGAGTTTCCAGGTGAATAAGTAATGATTATAATAAAGATAGCAGCAAACACTGAGCGGCTTAGAAACTCAAAACTCAGTTGGGGGAAAGGGGGCGTCAGGGAGTTGGGGCTGGAATCTTTTTGCTCCTGGAGCTAGCAGCAGCTATTTTCTTACGCAAAGTAAGGCTGCCACGCTGGGGAGACGTGACCGTCTTCTCTCCTCCGCTATCCCCCCACCTCAATGCACACGCGGCCACTCACTCCCCTGGCCCCACCGTGCATCAGGCCACCGATAAAAATTCGGCCTCTCTGCAACACCGCTAAACACGCACGCGCGCGCGCGGGCACGCGCGCACACACACATATACACACACACACACACACACACACACGCACACGGATAATCATGGCAAATTCACATCACCAATGGCTAACACGTTTCATCTCACCCCTCAATGAAAATGTGACTTCTAAAGTTCCTATTTTATGACGCCAAAAGAGGAAGGCGAGGGAGGACTCTGAGGATGTCAAAAGGGGAAAGGATAGTTTTCCCCCTTCGCTTGCAATTTTCACCTCCCAAATTTGCTTTCCTGCACCAGCTAAAGGAAGCGGCGAGTAGGCAGCGGGTTGAAAACATTTTTTTAAAATATGCTAGGTAGGGGTGAGAGAGTGAGAAGGTGGGGGTGAGCGAAATCCATGAATCATTTCTCTGGATTGAAGAATACTAAAAGCCCCTGAACTCACATTCCAAATTTCCAAAGAGCTACAAGACGAGGCACCAACTGGGGCTGAGGGCTCTCCTCCACTCCTGCGGGGATTCGCCTCCCTGCACAGCTATCCCTCTAACGTGACTGTGTATCTGCCAGCGCTCAGTACCCATCCCCGGGATCTTGAACTTCGCCTCCCTCTTACTTTCAGCCAGACCTAGCGAGCGCCACGAACAGCTAGCTCCTGGGGGGAGCAGGAGCCCACCGGAGGGGCATGGAGGGAGAGGGATGGGGGTGCGCATTACCTGCGAAGCTTCTCGAGGTCTCCTTCCAGCCCTGGTGGTAATCCCGCTCAGCTCCGCGCCCTCCCCCAGATCCAAACTTTTGCTCGGTCCTCCGGGTGCCGGCGGCGGTGGCGAAGGCGGTGGCTGCTGGGGCCGAACCCTGTCGCCCGCAGCGTCGGGGCTTTGGGGTGCGGAGGCCGGAGCCTCAGAGCGGTGCGCGCCTCCCCGCAGCCGGCTGGTGCCCGGGGGCCCCACTCGCCTCGCTCGCTCTCGCCTACTTCCCCCACGGAGCCGCGGCATCGTCCTCCCCCGTCCTCCGCCACCTCCGCCTCCAGGGCTCGGGCATGCCACTTTCTCTCGGCTCCGGCCGCCGCGGCCCCCGCCTCCTCTGCTCCTGTGCCTCCCCCTTTCCGCTTGGCCAAGCTAACGAACCCCGAAAGAAGTGGGGCGAGCGGGGAAGGCGGCGGAAAGCGGCCCCGCGACGCCGGGGCTCCTTGGAGACGAAGGACCCCGGGGATCGGCGGGAGAGCCAGGCGGGCTCAGTTCCGACGCGGGAGTGCTGACGGCGTGGAGCCGGGCGAGCGGCTCTGCGCGGGGGCGGGCGCGGGGCTCGCTCCAAGTGCTGCGCCCGCCCGGCGCGGGTCTGGAGGCTGCTCCGACCACACTGCTGCCTCAGTCCGACGCGGCCCGGCTAATGTAGGCGCCGCGGCCCCCACCCCCACCCCTCCTGACACCCCCGGGAGATGTTTACAGTAATGAATTCGCGGGATCGCCTCCGCCGCTCCCGCGCTCCTCCTCTCCCTGCGTCCCTCGCGCACTGGCGCGCTCCCCTTCTCGAGCCCTCTTTCTCTCCCTCCCTCCCGGAGTCCCTCCCACTTTTCTGGTTTAAAGAATGCTTGGGAGGCGCGGCTGCTACCCAAAGCTTTCCAAGAGGCAAAGTCAGACTCGGATTTTAACCCTGTCCTCTCTGAAGAGAATTGCAGAGCGCCCGGGCTGACACCGCGAATGCCACCCTGACCCTCCCTGCACCCCTTCTTTCTCTCTCTCTACCCTGGAGATGTTCTCCCTTACCTCCAGCTTTTAGGGATAATACCACCAGCGGAACCCAGAGAGGCGATCTCCTCATGTCTGCCTAATGCGCTTCCAGGCGGGAGGATCTTTTACTTAGACACTGAGAAATGATCGAAACGTGAGATTAAAGGGTAAAAATATAGCAAGCCTCTCAACCAAAATGGCGTTATTTCAAGTGCAGGCAACCCCCACGCCCCACCCCATCACTAGTTCCCTCATCCTGGACTTTCTTAAATAAGTTTAACTGGGGAAATAATCTAAAGTTTAATATGATTATTTTAAACACTCCCATTTTCTCCCCTCATCCCAGCTGCTGCTGGAAAGAGCGTTCTTTATTTCCCGATCGATTGCAGTCCACAACCAGAGATTCAGCTTCAAAGATTTAGGAAACAGGCTTGACAGCTAAAGAAGCCTAATTTGTAAACAGGTGACGTTTCCACTTCGCAATCTCTTTGCAAAGGTTAAAGAGTAATGTAAGAAAACCAGGTGCACGTCCCTTTATGACGGTTGGGGGGAGGTTCGGGTTTTCTCATTTCTTTTCATTGCTGCTCCTCCTGCCTCCAGTAAGTTGCTGTCATGTTTTAACAAGTCCGGAGAGAGGCTGAATCTGAACAGAAGAGGGAGAACGAGCCCGCGCCAAGCGCTGGGCTACTCTGAGACGCGCAGCCGCTAGGGCCCACGAGCTGGAACCGGCGTGTTTAAAACTTGCCCGGGACCAACTTCCTAGATCCCCTCAGTTCCTGGGGCAGAAGAGTTGGGCTGGGGCGGTGCCCGAGACCCGCTTAAGATGATTTCCGGACGCGCCCCAGGCGCGACCGCACTCCACGTCCTCAGTTCAAAACCTGAGTCACTTGGCATCACTTCCCCGATTGTTTTTATTTCCTTCGCATCCCTGTTGTGTCTACAGCCTGCAGGTACTTGAGCGCCTAAGACGCTCAAATGTTAAGACGACTTGGAGAAACGCCCGATTTGCCTCCCAAGCCACGCACGGGTCCACCCAGAAGCACGCCCTCGCGGAGACGCACGACGGCACACGCGCTCACACGCATGCACATACACACATATACACACGAGTAGCCCGTTCGTGCGCACGGGTCACTGTTCTTGCTGCATTATGTAAAGGTGGCTAAGAAAACGCATTGACTTGGATACACACAGCCCATCTCCTCTCCAAACACAGCGTGTGACTAATAAATGTCTGGGAGGGTGGGGAGCGCGGCTGGGGGCGCTAATCGGAGGGGAACAGACAGTAAGTGCCATCTTGCTGGGAGGTTCCAGGAGCAAAGTGCCAACGACGACTGTGGCGCTGGCCTCAGCCTCAACCCGCAACTGCCACTGGCCGGACGCCCCTAAGCTCCAGGAATTTCTCAGGCGTGAGGTGTGAGTCTAGCCTGCCCCAGTCTCCGTCTTCCCCTAAGGCTTCCTTTCCCTGGTTAATGCCCTCACAGCAACTCGGCGGCAACCTTGATCTTGAGCCCGATTACAATTGAGAAGTGACCGCGCCCGCGCTGAAAGCGAGGAGGCGAGCCCCATACCGGTCGGCGCGGCGGAGGGATCTTTCCAGGAGGTCTCGAGCCCCCCCAGAGACCGGGTGGCAGCTGACAAGGCCCTGCTCCAGTCACCCTCGAAGTCTCCTTGCCCAGGCGTTCAGTGCCTAGGGGAGTCATCCGCCCCCTCCCTGCGTCCCACGTACGCGGCTCAGGGAGGCAATCCCGTTTCATCCTTCCATGCTCCTAGCGCCTTCGCCACCCCCGCAGGCGCGCCAGGAAGGCGCGATGGCCTCAGTTCAGTGCCCGCCAGCTCCAGGAGGACTAGCGGGGCTGGAAAGCGGCTTGGTTTTGAAAAAGCACCCCCTCCTCCCAAGGAAAACGAATTATCATCCACTGCTTCTGCTTAGCCGCTAACCGATCCGGATTGCGGGCAGGGAACGGGCTGGTGCCTTTAAATACAACCTTGATAATAACTCTGGTGACATTAACAGCAGATGAGGCGAGGGGCTTGTTACTGATGGAAGTTAAGATTCATTCTAGGGAAGGGAGAAACTGGACTCCGGCAAGGTTAGGGGCTCTGGAACCCCCAATTTAGGATCCAACCTTGTAGCAGGCTAGCAAATTTGCGTTTTGATCCCGAGCTCAGTCACAAAACTCCTTAGAGCAGACGGATTTGACCTGCAGACAGACGTCCCTAAAGTCAGGGGAGAGCTAAGCTGCCTATTTTCTCTCTATGCGAAAGACAAAGCCTAGAGCACCCCACCCTGATGACCACCCCACGTTGGTTCAAAACAGAAAAAAAAAAATAATCTTCCCCCAAAGAGAGCGTGGTGCCCGCGCAGCGACAGCTCCGGCGGTTACTGGAAACTTCACCTGGCACAGCAGCCCCTTTACCTGGCGGCCGTGTCTTCTAGGCAATGGGCTCATCCGAATCCGACAGGGTCAGGGAGGTGGAAAGGGAAGAAGCTGACGCGGCAGCAGCGGGGCTCCCGGGGCATGGTATTGTTTTAGGGGTCGCCGTCGAGGTCCTTCTTGCCCATCGTTGAGAACTGCCGCCCTGGTCCCGGCGCTCGGTGGACACGGCGGCGGGCGCGGGGGTGTCGCCTCGCCGCTGGGCACCTGGGACGGAGGACCAGAGGCACCCCTCGGCGGGCGCGGCGATTGCCAGCACCGATGTTAACTCCGCGCGCTCCTTCCTCCGCGGCCACAATAGATGATGCCAAACTCGCAAGTGAAGGCGACAGGTTTCGAACGTACAACTAACTACGAGGTATCCAGCCTGAGAGAGTAAGCTGCTTTTCCCATCCCCCTCCTCTCCCTCCTACCAGGGAGGGGACTAACTTAACCCTGTGTGCGCCCTCCACTCCCTGGAGAAGCTGGAATCCACTAGGAAACCGCAGGCGGCGGCCGCCGGGACGCGAGCTTTGTTCACGTGCGTTTCCAGCGGGTGTGTTGCCGTCTAGGGGCACTCGCGTGGCAAGACGCCAGCGGCGGGCTTCCAGCGCCAGACTCAAGGATGGGAAGGAGCCCTAGCGTGTCATCCGGATCAGACGCAGCCCTCGGAATCTATTTTTTGCCTTCAGTTACCGGATTTATTGAAGTTGCCAGCGAAGTTGGTTTTTATTCCTCTCCTTCTCTGCCCTCCACCCCCGGTATTATTTCCTTTCCTAGCTGCGCTTTGAAGATTTGCAACTCGTCGCTCATTCTAGCTAGTTGTTTGACTGTGTTGCGTGTGCGGGACAAATTGTGGCGGTCACCCACCCACCCATGGTAAATGTAAATGAAACCACAAGAAAAGCTGCCTCCCACCCGCCCATCGAGTTCCCGAGTAAGCCTAATGACACAGATTCAAATAATTGAGACGAAGACACCACAACGGAAGATGGGTGGGGGGAGAAGAGGGAGTTTGATACGTGAGTAGGAAATGGAGAGAGATGGAGAGAGAGAGAGAGAGAAAACGCACAAAAACCAGAAAACAAAAAAAACGAAAAAAAAAAAAAAAAAACAAAACAAAAAAAAAAAAAAAAAATCCAAGTCCCAACATTGAAAGCAGCAGGTCAGCTTTAAGCGCCTACGTTTTGATCCGCGATATTTTCCCATCTCCTTTGGAAGCGGTTTAATAGAGAATACGGGAGCCTCTGCCTTGGCTGCCCAAATGCTTTGCGTTTTGTGAACAGCTTTGACTAAGCGCTCTGGACTCCCAGGAAGTTAACTGGAGTTGGAGGCGATTCATCTCCTGAACGCTGGATGGAAGCTTCGACAAGAGAACGGTGTTAGCAGAGCGTCTCTGCTGTCACCGTCACACCACAATGAGCCAGGACGTCGCTCAGAGCGCAAACTCAGATCCACACGCGGACATCTTCAACCGATTCCTTCTTCCTTCGACTCCATTCCGGACTAAAGAAAGAAAGAAATACGGAGCCGTTATAAAGCATTCAGAGGATAGCACGTGGATCTTGCTGAAACTGAGTTATTTAAAAAAAGAGAAAGTGTTTTTCCACCAGATAGTCGTTCTAATTTCTCTTTGCAGCATACCCAAGCCAATGGGATTCAGTAATAGCCATTTCAAATGCCTCCCTGAGCTGTGCCAGCCACAGAGGCAGTGGGAACGCTGCTTCCAGCCCTCCCTGTGCAGGACTCCGTTGTAAATCCTTCTGGATTGCCAAGGTGGCAGCAAAGCATAGGGATAGCTCCTCAGGCTCCAGAATCAACGAGGAAGATCCCATTTTAGGACAAATACTGATCTACCTGCTTTTAAACATCCGTTTTCGTATGTAAGTGTATATAAGTATCCGCAGGAGGCTCTTCCTTTGAAACCTTGATCTGAAACAGCAGCATAATTATTTCATCTTTAAGAACACATTATTTGAAAAGGTAAAACGGAACCCTGTAGAGGTTTTACTTTCTGATTTATGCTGCTAGAGAAGGAATGAGATTGAAAATGGGGGAGGGGTAGTTGCAGACGTAGAGAATTCATATTTTAAATTATTGCTGTTTATAAACTGCAAGTATGTGCTCCCGATTAACGGCTACTGGGCCAGTTATTGTAATCAGGACAAGAAAAATTAAATAGGAAAAAATATCACACCAAATGTGTGAGCAGAATCGTTGTAACAAATTTCTGATCCACATGACATGTGAATCAGCTTTAGAAATGTAGGATGATCAAGCCAGAACTAGTAAAAGAATGGGAAATGTGGTTCCGGGGCTCCAAAGCGCAATAATTCTGCATACTTCCGAAACTGCGGAAATGAGGTTACTTTATTTTTATTAAGAAACTCACTAATACATCAGGGTAGAGAGGTGGGCCAAAGAGAAACAAAAAACAAATTTGTGAGTTTCAAAAAACAGAAGTTCAGCTCATTCATTATTCTTAAGACTTCACTCTTCAATAGAGTTTTCATTTCAATTGAAATTTGATTGTTATCTCAAGTTACTTAGCCACCCCACGTTTCTTATATCATTCCCCATCCAGACACACACACGTGTGTATGTACATCGGCCTGTCTTTCTAGTAATTGGTGAAAGTGAAAATAACACAGTGTCTGGATCATAAGATCATGATTTAAGCTCAAAGCACTGACAATTTTTATCTTGGGTAAGTTCATCTCTGAGTCACTGCTTCTTCATTTGTAAAATGGACATTTAAAAAAAAAATCCTGTTCTACCGGCCTTATGACATTGTGCCATCATGAGTCAGCATATGTGACAATGCTTTAGAAATTTGACTTGTCATTGTTAATGATATTAGCATTACATCACAGGGTCCCAGCCTTCAAAATGTAGGCCAATTATATCAATGTAAACATTGTCAGTTTCCCCTAATATTACCATCTTACATTATCTTGGAACATTTATCAAAACTAAGAAACCAATATTGCTACATTGCTGTTAACTAAACTCCAGACTTCATTTATATTTCATCAGTTTTTCCACCAATATTATTTTCCTGTTTCAGGATCCCATCTAGGATATCACACTGCCTTTAATCAATAGATAACTATGCTTGATCTTTCCTTATTCTGTATAACCCTAGAGCTTTGGGAAATAATGGTCAGGTATTTTGTAAAATGTCTGTGAGTTTGGGTTTGTCCAATGCTTTCTTATAATTAGACTCTAGTTACTAGTCTTAAGAAAAAATACCTAAGGAGGAATGTCTTACTGGTCACATCACTACGTCAGGTGAAACATGGTGTCAGCATGATGTCATTGATGACATTAATACTCTCCAAGATATTTTGTACCAGGTTTCTCTATTATACAATTATTCTCCCTTTCCATGCTTTGTTCTTTGAAAGTGAGTCCCTAAGTCCAGCCCAGCCTCATGAATTTAGGATTTTAAAATGATCAAATTAAGCATTTAGTGTGACTTGTAAACATTCCAAATGTCAAATTCACTCAGGAATAATCTCTTACAAAATTCCTCCTACATAGAATTTAGGAAAGTCCTCCTATATTTCCTCAAGAAAGTGCTCGACAATCTCCTCTGGCTACATATTTTGAAGCCATTTTCAACTCATCTGTGTATTACAAACCCACTCATTCCCCAAATATTGATTTTTTTTTTTTTTTGAAATGCCCCCTTGTTTACCAATCCCATTGCCACATCTCTGTGTGGTTCAAAACTTCAATTTTCCTATGAAAAGATGACATCCATGACCTTCTTACCCCTTCTCCCTTTCATAATTTTTGGCCAGCATGGTGCTCATTTCATTCGCCCTTAGAGTGATATTAGCTACCTACATTTTCATCTCTTGACTAGATCTTACTGTCTCAAAAAATTAAGTTGGTTTCACTTTTGTATTTGCCTAGTGTCTGGTGTCCAGTACAGTGCTTTTCACATGATTGAGGCTCAAAACATGCTTGTAGACTTAACAAATAAGCTCCTCCGGCAGGCAGAGAGAAATACATCCTTTTCCGTAAGCTGAAGACCATTGTAAGAAAATCCATGCCTAGTACACTATGGAGAGATGGCGTTTCTTTTCCGTCATGAATATAAAATATTCCTAATCTATGACATCCTTTTTGTGAAGTGTGGCTTGATTACATAGATCCGTGCCATTGAAATGCATGCTCTTCTGATTTTGAAACACCACGCTAGAGTATGTGGCTCATCCTTTGATCCAACAAACATCATAGAAAATATAAAAATAGCAGGCCCTTGGTGAATAGAGTCAGTCTCTATTCTGTCAAAACTCACAGTCTAGTGGAGACATAAGACAAATAATTATGGAAATAGGGAAATTAGGGAAATACAACAACTTAGGTATGTGCAAAATACTTCAGTGCTCTGAAACAGAGTCTAGAGAGATGGCTTCATTCAAGTGATGATGAGGCCCTTCTGACAATGTACTGATATTACAGGAGACTTTGCGGCATTATTTTATATCCAGCCTTCTGCATACAGCAGCTCCAGCTACTAAATAGAGTCTCCTGTCTTATGAAAAGCCCTTTGGGCCAAGAATTGGAAAATCAGTGTGGAAGTAATTGCTTGAATATCCATTTCCCCAAGCCTTGGTTTCTTTGCCTTTCTGTGCAGGTTACAAGATGATTATGCGTGAACAAAAACAGAAGGTACATACTGACAGGAAACAAAAGCACGTTAAACCATGGAGATTTCCTCTTACATAAACCTGCCATTTGTTAAGCAGTTGCTCTCTGTTTTGAAGGGAAGCTGGCATAAACTTGATACAAACATTCTCCAACTGTGCTGGGAGGAATAAGTAAAGGAAACGCCTTTTTTTAAAAGAGTATAAAAAGAGGTAAAAGATCTACCCAGGGACTTATTTAACCTAGATGCTACCATTGCAGAAAATGTTACTGAGCCTACCTCTATCTAACTATAGTTCTGATGAGGAGGGAAGTGACTTTTTAATCTAAGAAAACACACTTAATTAAATGTGCACATAAGATTCTGAATTAAAATTGATACGTATTTTCTCCCACTATCTATCAACATATTAGAAAAATGAAATTACATTCTTTAGGGGGCAGAGAGAGTTTTCAAGACTGACGTTTATCACGAGAATGAATGTCTTCACTCAAGCTTTGGGCAATTACAAAGAGCTCTGAGCTCGGACTCGGAAGATCTTATTTCAAGTCTCCATTAATTTATCAGAAAAATCACTTAACTGCTCTGAGCTTACAGTCTCCCTTCCATCACGTATGAAAAGTAAAACCAAGACTATCTTCCCGGGTAGATCCGTGAAGATCAAGTGAGGTGAGGCATTTCAAAGCTCAAAATATGGATAAATTACCATT